AAAACAGAACAAATATCTTTTTCGGCAAAAACAATTTATTTTATTCAAAATAGTCTCCTTCTGCTTCAATACAGCTTTTTGCACGATCCAAAAGCATGACGAACGAGTGTTTTAGCTCGTTGGCCGGTATGGCCGCCAGTATGCCGGTGCAAGCCTTTTGAATGGCCTCTACGTCTGCATAATGCTTTCCTTTCATGGGCAAATGCATTTTTCCGAAAAGGTAGAAGTCGCACGGTGCCGTATCAAGTGAATACGGCGAGTGGTTAATGGTTAAAATATGATTTGATGATGAGAGCAATTTTTGGTCGTCAGTCAATTTGTGCGGAACAAACCATGCACACACCTTTCGTAAGCCCAAATGTTCGGTCAAAATACGATAAATCGATGTTTTGGAGATGTTCAATTCTATTTCCATCAATTCGAATGCTGATTTCGGCTGATTTTTGATAAATTCACGCACAGTTTCGATAGAATTTTGATTGGCCCACATGTTGATCATCATTTATGTCCTCACGAACACTTTGAAAACATTGAAACCACTCGTGAACTCTGCTACGGAATAGGCAATCATGGCCATAAACTTGTTCCATCAATTGAAACGTTTCGGTAAAATATTTGCCAATTTTATAACAAAATTTAATGTTGGCTCTTTGTTCGAAGTTCATTTTCGCACTGATAACACAAACATACTGACACTTAGAATGCAATAACTTCACTTCCAATCGATGAAATGTCATGAAATTCTCACTGGACAATCTCTAAAGATAGCAGATTCTAACGCACCAGTCGATAGATAGCGCCACCAGGGGCGCTAGATTCAAAAAGTTTGTTTACTTTCGAACGCACCTTGTATGTATGTTGAGCCAAATCTGCTGCTGTTAGAACATTGGAAAGTATTACATACATACATACATATAGGGCTAAAGCTTTATAGTTGACCCATCGTGATTGCCGAAATTAGTCCACAACTTTCAATAATTGCGAGTTTAGAAAAAAAAAATAATAGCGGGAAAGTAGCAAGTTTCATCGTGGGAATAACTGAGGAGAACTTATCCAGATCTTGAATATACTAGGTCCTTTATCTCCTGAGATATGTTCGCTCATGTAGACGGGCTTGCCTTTATCGACTAATGCAAGGACTAAATTGTATGGAAACGATACACATATGTATGTAAACAGTAGGTAACAGCGGAAACGCACACAGAATAATATTTAAATACAGAGCGCAAAAATATTAAGTCGTTCTCTGTCAAAAAACTCGTAATACTTGTATAATAATAAAACAAACCAAAAAAATCCACCACTAACCGGCAGTTGAATAAAAAAGGCATAAAATAGTTTTGGTCATAAATTGTATTAGGAAGATATATTTGGTATACAATTAATTAAAGGAAACTACTTACAGATTACATGTGTAAATGTTGTTTGCATAACATCAGTGTGGAACTGATAACATTTTTTAGCGGGGAATGAGGGAGAGAAATAAAAAAAAGGACAAGTATAATTTATTGATTTAGAGATGATTGCTTCTGGATGATACAATAAAAGCTTTGAATGTATAATATACCATTTTACTTTTTGGGTACAGGGTATAAAAATAAAACAAAACTAAACTACACAATAATGAAGTCGGAAATGCTGTAAAATATGTTGTGTACATTGGAAACATACATACATATAAAATAATTTGAAGGAATCTGAAGAAAAAAATGTGTTAAATATATACTTTAACCATGTACTTATACAATATTAACACATACTTATACACTTTTACAAATATTTTACATTCTAATTTCCCGCACACCAGAGCAAGGAAGCAGGAATACGTACACTTGTAGCCCTTGATGATCAAGGAGGTGAGTCCACTAACACTACAGAATATCACCATATAACTTACAACAATTCATTACTTTTTATTATTTTAATGTTTTATTGCAATTCAACAAATATTTTCTAGTAAACATACATATGTATTCTTTAACACAATTCCGACGCAAGCCGACTTTCCCATAGTTTACTACGAATATTATCTATGTAAAAAGAATGTGTCTCACAGGTATTACATTGGCTATATGTTGCCACAAGTGCCGAAGATTTACATATATCAGATTTTTTTTTATCGATAACCTGAAATTGTCATCTTAATATGGCAAACCTACATACATTATAATACCATACATTTTTTGACCACGAAGACAAGGGCGAAATATTAGAAAAAAATAAAAGAAATTTGCCTTTTTGATGTTGTTGTGATTTACATGTAATGGAATCCCATTCAACGAATAAGAATGTACAAAATTTAATAACAAATTATTACAATAATGAAATATTATATTTTAAAAATTCAGATTTTAGAATTTATGAAACTAAAGTACGCTTTAAAATATGTTTAATTATATGAATCTCATAATTTCTTTAATTAAACTACTATCACATATTACATTTTCAATGAAGTCATCCAATTTCATCTAAATTTAAGCTACCTTATTTGGAATAATACTTTTTCTGTTAAAAGAGAGTACAGATTACAACACAACTTCTACAAATTTATGCGAGAGTCTTTGAATTATATTGATTTGAATATGGCTGTTACGAAGTTAAATCTATATCTTTAATATAAGGTTGTTTTGATAATTACTTTTTCAATATGCAATTTACATCCAAATCTTTATAAATACAAATACAAAATATAAATTTAACCTCTTTTATCAAATCGATGTGGACGGCAAACGTTTTGTCATAGTATTCAAGTCTAGCACTAAGGGTACAAACAGCGCTGAGACGAAGCTAAAGCCGAAAAACTGTGCACAAGCAAACATATGAATTCGTTCGAAAGTGTGCTTGCAAAGGCGAAGATGACGACGAAGCTGACGCTGTTAGCTTGAAATCGTCCGGTACTGATTTTGAAGACGAATCGCTTTCTGTTTACTCTTATTGTTGTTATACTCTGTACATGAAATGTACAAGAGTATACAAGGTTTACGCGAGCTGAAAAATTTAACTGGCAGAAGGAGGGGTGGCAGACCCCACAAAGTATATATATTCTTGATCAGCATGAAAAGACGAGTCGACCTATGTCTGTCTGTCGGTCTGTCCGTATGAACACCTGGATCTCGGAGACTATAAAAGTTAGAGACACCAAACAAAGATGCGTTATGTGTGTACGTTGTGCAAGTTTGTTTTATTTTTTAGGTTTTCCCTCCCAGACTACTTTTAGGCTCCGAGATATACGCGATTATACATACGAATGGAAAATCGGGAAAACCCCTATAGGGGAGAAATGGGCCGAAAACCAAAACAATAAAACAAACTTAATCTAGGGACACCAAATTTTAGTCTAAGATGCCTTATCCCCCACAAATCGTAACTCCCGTAATTCTTGGAATTTTGAACTCAAACTTTTGGTTGGTGATTATGTGTCCGTATGCCAAGTTTCACTATGATAGACCGATTTAACAAGACCGATTTAACAAGACCGATTTAACAAGACCGATTTACCGAGAGAGGTAAAATCGATCCAAATTTTTTTTTTTTTAATTTTCTAAATTTTTTTAATTTCGATAATTATTTTAAACATATGTACAGAGTGTATAAGTCGGGACACCCGACTTTGGTTTTTTTACTTGTTTTCGTTATCATTTTTGGAATGGAGCTGGAAAAACATCGATGTTTTGATGCATCGAACTCCTACTGACGAATTTTTAATATTTTTTTTTTATTTTTGGTTTTTATTTTTCATCTTATTTATAAAGCTAACGGTTTTTACTAAATACAAAAAGTTTCAAAACAAACGATATTTTCACAAATTCAAAGAATGTTAAAAGCATATAAACCAATGATAGTATAACATAGAAAAATAAAAATTCAGTGGTGGACAAGTAGTAAAGAACATCGAACATAAAACATCTATAAACAAATAGAGAAGCTAAAGCCGAGTGTTTTGACTGTGAAGTACTCTGTACATACTTGTGTGTGGAATGATTAGAGAAATTAAAAAAAAAAAAATTCACAAATTAAAAGTAAAATAAAATGTGTTATAATGGAAAAAGTTAGTCCAGATATTAAAAATTATAGTTTAATAACACTTTTATCATTGTTGTGTGTTTTTGTCCAATTATGCTGTGTTTTTCATATGTGTAATTTTAGATTAGGCCTGACAAGTGTAACTGTATTTAATGGGATAGAACTTGTACATGACACAGCGTTGCAAAAGGTTTTAAATGGAAAGCAATTAACCTAAGTGTGTGCAGAATTTTGAGTAAGATCTTGGTCCACCGCAACGTCTTTCAGAGTATTTTCGTTTTGTCGGTAATGGTGCAGTTGCGGAGACGGAGACGCTTGTATGAATATAATTAGTGAACCGTACACCATTCTTTGTGGTTTGCTTCTAAGAAATTGTGCCACTTGCCAGTACTGGAGCGTTTTCTTTGCTTTCTTCTTGTTAGACGAAGTTCAACTACATTTTCCTGAGCCTCATATTTACCCGAAACAAATGTTTAACAAATTAATCCTCATTTAGGGTATCGTCTACTGTATCAATAGGCATGAATTCATCCATATTGTTATCAAAAAATAGATTGTGTGGATCTTATAAATATGTTGTCTATTGTGGACATATATGTAACATTTAACTCTAGTTCATGTAGCTGTGGTCTTGCAGGAAATCGTTTTAAATTTACAAGCCATGCCTAATATATGTATATAATACGTATACCTTCGGACGTATTACATTATATTAGGGATGTGTTTTTGAGTTTTGTTCGATTTCTGTCAAGAAAATACTATATAAAAATATAAGTGTATCCTTATAACAATTTATACGTTAATGGAAATTCGTATCATATTTAAAGCATATAAAACCAACACATTCTAAAATTGTACAAACATGCTCATAACTGTAGTCATATAAAACTACGTTAAGAGAGTTAGAACCAACCAGTAACTGAATTCTCCTATTATGCTAATTTTTTTTTTTTAAATATACATGTATTTTTATATAGAGCGCGGAAGTTGGAATGAGGAGCATTGTAATGCTGGATGAGCAAGGAGGTAAGGAACGAATAAACGCGCCCTTCATATATTAATATAAAACATAATAACATATGTAAATAACTAGAGAAGAATGATATCGTCGGGCGGGCCCAACTCCCAAGTACATCGTTCCCACTCCCATAAAAACATAACCATATTATTAAATTAGTTATTGTTAGACCCCGCACCCAAAAGGGTAAAATAGTTGTTGTGGGATTTTATGTAATACAAAGAAGGAGGTGTGGCAGATCCCCAAAATATTTATATTCTTGATCAGTACGATAAGAATTTTCCACTAATTTAATAATATTTATTTTTATTTAATAATAAAACAAACTTGTACAGCGTACACACATAAGGTATCTTTGTGCAAAACTTGGTGTATCTACCTCTTATAGACTCTGACGTCTCAAACGGACAGACAGACAGACAGACAGGGCTAGATCGGTGAAAAAACATGTAGTGCGTATTCATATGTAAGTATGTATAAGGCATCTTGCACTTAAATTTATGTCTCTAGTTCTTATAGTCTCTGAGATTCAGGTGTTGATACGGACGGACATGCAAACTGACAGGGCTAGATCGACTCGTCTTCTCATGCTGATCTAGATTATATGTATATCCTTTATAAGGTCTGCCGCGCATGCTTATGCCCTTTACACTTTTACCTTCCCCCGCAAAACTAATATACTCTTGTACCTTTTAGATATAGAATATAATAAATATTCGAATTTATGATTATTTGAAGATACTAGCAGGACTTGCCCATCTTTGCTGGCTCAGTATTTGTGCTTACAATTATACGTTTATTTACTATATGATATTTCTCCTCTGACACTACAAAGTTTCTAAAGAGTTCATTTCCCAAATAGCAAATTACTTTGGTACGATTAGAGAGCTAGGACATACATACAATCATATATATATTTATATATGTAGTATGATAGGGATAAATTATGGCAAGTAATTTCTAGAATTAAAAGCTGTACAATTTGCAAAGTTATTTGGTCAACTTATGCAACTGCACAACATTTAAATGAGCATGCACACATATGTATATACATACATACATACACAAGGGCGTACGCAGGGGGCGGCAGGGGGGGGGGGGGCGCCCGTTGCCCGTTGTATTCTTTCTCAGACTAAATACATAAACCAAGTTTAAAGTTAATCGGATTTCTTATTTCCTAAAACCACTTCTTGGTGCTCACCTACACTTTGAAGCTTTTTAACGCTTTCCATTTGGGCTGTGCGTTGATTGCACATACATATGTATGCACTTACATACCCACAAATTTAACATCGACATACATACAGGCCTCACCTATAAGTGCAACTCGTCCGAAATTCCTCAGCGCGCATGGTCGAGTTATTCCCGGAATGCGGGACTGAACATGGGGCATGTGCGGGATATTTATTTATGATTTAAAAATTGAGATGTCCCGCCGAAATCGGGACGTCTGGCAACGCTGATATGTACATACATACATATGTACATTTTATTTTTTGATACAGGCGCTATCTATCCTCACGTACATATGTATCCATATGTGTTTTTTTTTAATATGAATGTTGTGAGTGTAAAAGGCGTGTTTCTGCTTTTGTAAATCGCAATAATACATTCACGGAATAGGCTTAACGCTTAATGTCTCCCAGAATTCTTCAGAATACATTTGTAGCGTTGTTAGCTGATGCAACCGTTTAACACAAAAAGTAAATCGCTTGTAAATATGCGATCAGCTGAGATGCTAGAGATGGGCATGTGTCGGCTTTGTTCGGGCCGTCACAGTGCTATCACGTAATTGGCTGTAAAAATACATGAATCCGTATGCACGGTGAATGGATACACAAATTTTTCATTGTAAATCAAATAATTAGAAAAATGTCGATATTTAATTTATGCTTGTATATAATATAACTTATCGTAAAATATTAATTTATGTTATGCAAATGTGGCTAACATAAACATTGTTATTTTTTGGATATGCGCTCCGAATCCCTTGCACAACACAATGTTTTCAATAGACTTTGTGCAAAAAACTGGAATAAATATTAGAGTATTTCCTAACTTTAAATTATATTTTGGTCGAGTTGTTTTTGTTTTCATCGCATTTTCACGTTCGTGTCTTTTCGTGCTTTATTGAGTCAACACGAACACGCACAAAATTGGAATATGAAACACGGCACTCCAGTCCACAGTGCAGCGATGTGCCACGAACAATAAAAAGCGCCGATTTTGTTTTTGTGATTGTGTCACTGTGTAAGTGTGTTTATGTGGTGTCCCCAACTGTTTGATATTTTGCGCTCTATGTTGTTTATTGTTGCTGCATCTGGCAAGAAAATCGTAGATATAGTTATCTTCATTAGGGATATGAAATTTGAAATCAATCGGACAACATTAATAACGCAAGGATCTCAGAAGGTACAAGGGCTAGAATTACCAAACTTGGCATCCAGGTTCCCCTAAGCCCTAGGCAGGTCAAGTTTGTTTTTTTTATTTTGATACACCCCCCACTCCCCCGCAATTCGTGTTTTTCTTATAAATTCCGTAATTCTTGGAATTTTGAAATCAGTTAGTTAGTTACATCCAGTTAGTGCCTATGTGTCCGTGTGCCAAGTTTAATCACGATAGGTCAATTCTGAAGAAAGTTATAGCCATAAATAAAATCGCTGCTCATGCGCTGCCTGCAGCACTGCCGGCAGCACTGCCCGCAGCTGTTGTTGTTGTTGCTGCTTTGGTTCAACTTTGTGCTGCATACATACACGCATATAAACACGCATAAGTACGTGATGTAAATGTATGCTGTTAAAACTGAACTTAACATGTATTCTAATTTAATTTAATTAATTAATTAATTAATTTTTATACCCTGTACCCGTAGGGTAAAAAGGGTATATTAGGTTTGTGCAAAGTATGTAACATGCAGAAGGAAGCATCTCCGACCCCATAAAATGTATATATTCTGAATCAGCAGGACGATAGTAATCGATCTTGACATGTCCGTCCGTCCGTCTGTTCGTCTGGATGAACGAAAGTATCTCAGAAACTATAAAAGCTAGAATAACCAAAGTTGGCATCCAGATTCTCCTAGGTCCGAGAAAGGACGAGTTTATTTTTTATTTTTTTAATTTTCCCCCTTCACCCGCTACAGAATTTCGTCAATAGCGTCCACATTTCAAATGCTACCTAAATCAAACTTTGCACACATAATTTATATATAATTGTCTACTGTTGTTCATTTTATTCAATTCGGTCAATTCTAAGAAACCCCACCAAACTGCAGCAACAAGTTCGCTCTTCTTCCTCTTTTTGCTGCTGCTATGGGCGCATATAACTCAGTGACGGAAGTTTACCTGGGTACAGGGTATTACACTGTCGGGCTTGCTCGACTGTAGCGTTCTCTCTTGTTTTTAATAATTTAATTTTTTTTTAATTTTTTATTTTTTTTTATTTTCCTTTTTTGGGGAGAGTACAGGCTATTTTACTGTCGGGCTTGCTCGACTGTAGCGTTCTCTCTTGTTTTTTACAGGTAAACTCCCATATTTCAAGAAACCAAGTATGCAGTTTTTCTTGGAATTTTTCTAAGAGTATACAAATTAAGTGTGAAGTTGATCAGATGAAAATGAAATGAAATTATTATATTCCTAGCTTTTACCGTTTGGGCTGTGCGTTGATCATCAATCAGTCAGTCAGTCAGGACAAACTGTTTTATATATATAGATATAAATATATAAATATATAAATATATAAATATATAAATATATAAATATATAAATATATAAATATATAAATATATAAATATATAAATATATAAATATATAAATATATAAATTTATAAATATATAAATAAAAAAAAGAAAAAATGAAAAAAATTTAATTAACTTTAAAAACTTATATTAATTAAATTATTTAATTAACTTAAATACAAATTATTCAATACAGTACAGTTTCAACAGTATACATTTACATCAGAATCGTGTATCTGCGTGTTTATATGCGTGTATGTATGCAGAACAAAGTTGAACCAAAGCAGCAACAACAACAGCTGCTGGCAGCGCATGGGCAACGATTTTATTTATGGCTATAACTTTCTTCAGAATTGACCAATCATGATGAAACTTAACATACGGACACATAATAACTAACTGGATGTATTTGAGTTAAAAATTCCAAGAACTACAGTAGTTATGAAAAACATGAATTGCGGGGTCGTGGGGAGTGTATCAGAAAAAAAAAACACAAACTCGTCCTTTCTCGGACTCAGGAGAATCTGGATACCGTGTTTGGATATTCTAGCTCTTGTACTTGCTGAGATCCTTGCGCTCATACAGACGGACGGACGGACAGACGGACATGGCTATATCGACTTGTCTTGTCATCCTGATCAATAATATATATACTTTGTGGGGTCTGCCACGTATCCTTCTGTGTGTTACATACATTCGCACAAAACTAGTATAGCCTTTTACCCTTTGGGTACAAGCTATAAAAATATATATATGATCAGCATAACAGACGAGTCGATCCATACCTGTGCGTCTGTCTGTCCTTCCGTATGAACACCTGGATCTCAGAGACTATAAGAGCTAGAGACACAAAATTTTGCACAAATATGCATTATGTGTGTACGGTGTGCAAGTTTGTTTTATTTTTTTGATTTCCCCATGGGTCCATATGCCAAGTTTCATTAAGATAGCTCAATGTTGAAGGAAGTTATAGCAATAAATAAACAGCTGTTGCTGATGTTGCTTCTTGCACTGCTTCGCACTGCACTGCGCATACATGCGCACACACAGACACGCATATACTTACATAGACACAATTTCTATGGATTTATGAAGATAAGTATACAATTATATACTATACGCTTAACGTTAGTTCAAATACCCAGGAAGGTAAAATCGAACAACGAGAGAAGAAGAGTTTGAATGTAGCCTAAATAATGCAGATATACATCAATACTGCAAGAGCGAAAGAAGAAAAAAAACGAAACCTTTCACGAATATATGCTACAGAT